CTGTGTTGTGGCCCAAATATAAGATTTAAATGCTGCCCATGACTGAATCTTGAAATCAAAGCTAGTAATGTTGCCAAAGATTCACAGGTGTCCCTTGCTAAATATTTGATCTTGTGAAATGTTATACGAACCATCACTAAACCATGAGGAAAGCCTCACCAAGTCGCAAGACAATTCAGGTGCGCCCCGCTCTGAATTCCCCTCTGAGTTTGTGTCAGAGGGTTTCTATTAACACGTACGAAGTGCATACCCTGAAACTCCACACCTATTTTAGCCTGCTGGACACCAACTCACTGCCCCTACAGGCATTTCAAGGTGGCGAGATGTTAACTATCTTGCCTGGCATACAGAAAGTCGCTGGTTCGATCTCGTCCCTGGCGCCTGCTGTATATTTCGAGTTTGCATGTCTCTCTTCCCGTGGTCGCGTGGATTTTTCTCTGGATCCTCCGGTTTTCCCTTCACATTTAGAATCAACGTCACGCGCTTAGAATAGTTTTGCTGCTGAACATTTCCACTTTGATGATGAGCCGCTTCGTTGAGCGCTCCATTAGGGCCAAGTCGCTTCTGAAAACTAGCTATACAGGGTGCTTCAACAACAATGTTATATACGCTTATATGGGACTATCGTTTTTAATGGAAAACGAACGGATAATACACTATAACATGATAACAAATGTAATGTTAATAGCTTTAAAAAGTCAGTCTCCACTTGTTCGCCATCGTTGTCAACGCGTGTCCGGAAACTTCTCCAGGTGGTCTCCAGGGCCCGGAGGCAGCGGCACATGTCACGTGGTGCTGTTGCTGCAAATTCTCAAAAGTGTTCGCATTTTTTTTGTAGCACCCTGTATAGCTCCGTGGGCCTTCACTTGATGGCCTGATCCCTGTGTGAGCTACCAACTCAACTTTTCTGGATGAGAGAGAGAGAGTACCCACAAGTCAGCCGTTTGGAGGAAGGGTGAGCGGATGACCCAGACAGCAGTGAGTATAAGACAATCAGTTGGGGGAGACAGCCAAGTAGATGGCAGGAGAGCAAGTAGGTCGGTGCTCTATTTATGGTTCGCCTCGGGGTTTCTCCGAGTTCAGCAGTTGCCTGATCACGTGCGCGAGATACTCAAAACGGGTACTGGCCATGGATCTCCAGCAAAACGCTCCCGAGTGCATCCATGTATGCTGTGCTTCGTTCGCGCCGCACGTAGCCAACCGTGAACAAGAGCCTCGGGACTCTAAAAAGCCTCCCGGATAAATAAAGGACGTTAGTAGTAATATTACTATTATTAAATGGCAACTTTGAACCGTACCACTATATCTACATGGTGGCATCCACGACCCTTGACCACGATGATCTGTCGGTCTCGATATCCGTGTATTTTGTTTTAAATACGGATCCTGTAATGTTATTCGGGTGGCTTTACTCTGGTATTCACAACCTAAGAAGAGGTTTTCCACATTTATAAAAATCCAACCTCTTGTCCTGGCACGTGTTTGCCGCTCGTCAACACGTGCGCTGCACGAGCGGTGTCATTCTAGAGGCCAGCGGACGAGAGTCGCGCGCGACAGAGCCGCACTGTGCAGAGTCGGAGATTTTATCGATTCTGTGTCAGAGAGAGCAAAGGGATCCAAGGGATGGCGGTGTTCCATCTTGGCCCAAATGGGCGATAATCGCCCGAAAGCGATGAAATCTAAAGTGGCCTGACTGTAACGGCGTCGTGTAATATTACCGCAGCGTGCAGTTTGTTCCATTAAATGTATTTACTTAGTTATTTGGCTAATTATATATCTATTTATCTATCTATTTATTTTTTGTTCGTGTATTTATTCGTTTGAGTATTCGTTTATTTATTTATTGTGTGTTTATTTGTGTATATATTTGTTCCATTCAATTTGTTTAATTACTGCCCTTTGTCAATGCACCGCTGGATGAAGGCCTCCCCTCGGGCACTCCTCGTAAACAGAGACACGGGGCGACGTCGCCATCGGCATCCCAGAGCCGATGCTTTAAATTCCACATTCCCATGACAGAGGCCACTTTGTCCATAGCGTGAGCAGTGTTGACTTCCCAACAGAGTGGTACGCATTTTTATTTCACCCCGGAGGAATGCTAGATTGTGTCAATCCCTGCCTTGGATTGGAACTCGCAACCATCCACGTATGGGTTGAGTGCCGCTCCGTCTGTGATACAAACACATGGGTGCCGCGGTGGCGAGATGATGACTCCCTCGCCTGGTGTGCAGGAGGTCGTGGGTTTGATCCCAACACTGACGCCTGCTGCTGTATATTTGGAGTTTGCGCGTCTCTCTCCCTGTGGTCGCGTGGATTTGTCTCCGGGTCCTCCGGTTTTCCCCTCCACATTTAGAATCAACATCATGCATTTAAAGTGTTTGGCGGCTATAAATGTCCACATGGTGAGCCACTTCGTTGAGCTATCGATCGTGATTGCCAGGTCGCTTCTGAAAATAGCTCTATAGCTCAGTGGGCCTTAGCTGGAAAAAATAAAGAGTTTCGTTTTTAGATTAGTTGATTCAACAAACTTGTTTTTGGCCAACAGAAGAGTTTATGTGTAGTGGACTCAGCATGGTAACAAGGTGGCCGTGTTTAAATCAAGGTTTAATGCCAGCCAAAACCGGAAACATTTCAGCATAATTAGCAAAGACGTGCACTAAAATAGACTGCGGGCAATATTACACTCGTCTAAAGAGCCTGTGTACGGCATCTTAAGTCACAAGTCATGAATGGTGCATGGGCATGATTCCTATGGCTATTAAAGACTGCCATTCTGCCAGGCGTTGACAGAGTGACAGCTGTTTTTGCAGAAAATCTCCCCACAGCATTTTTCAATTCACAGCGGGCCAAGTTCGTGCCAAAATGAGGCCATTCCACACCACGAGTGCGATGCTGCAGTAAGAGCGACATCATTCATAATAAATGTTTTTGGGTTAGATCGCGTAAGTATAAATGTTGTGTCGTAACCCCACACCACCCCAGACAGCCGGCAAGGTTTGTCACGTAAACAAAACGCGCCAAAAAGTTACTACTTCAGCCCACCGGTGTGCCGGAGAGCAAATCCACAACATTCACAATTTGAGTTGTACGACGTTCCGCTGGTTATTACATCCAGCATCATCAGGCGATGTGCCACTATTCTGGCAAATCACCCAGAAGGGGATTTGTCATGGCTGGTGAAGAAGTCATCCTTTGCTTAGTCCTACAACTCTGGACCTCAGTGGAAGGTAGAACAAGTCACACACATGGAGTGGTTTGCGTGCCGTGTCAGATACAAAGAAAGTGGTAGTGTAGTGGTTAACTCACTGCGCCACTAACCTGCCAACCCGAGTTCGACTCCCGCTCCTGACATATAACAGTGGCGAATGTTTGAACCGGTCCTGGGGCTCCCCTATGTCGACTCAGCCTTAAATGAGTACTTGGTGCGGTGTGTAAACTGGGCAAGACACAGGCGGGCTGGGCGTGGTGTTGGTCACCCACCTCCTCGTGTGCCTTGCCGACCTTGATAGAAATTCGCCAATAGCACTTGCCCCAAAAACCTGCCAAGGCCCCAAAAGTCTACGTATATGGGGGAGATCATTGTTGTCGGACGGAATTTGGTTGGCCGGCCCGGTCCGTTGCTGGACAGGGCGCTGGCTGAGGTCAGCGCTCACGCCTCCCTCCCCCTCACGCCGATTGGCTCTGAGGTTTTTTGGTAGAGCCAGGCCAAAACCTTAGGATGTGAATTTGGCGCAAGCATTTGCGCGGAATTTCCACTTATCAGCAAATTCGGAATCAGAATATTTATTTATGCTGGAGGAATCCGAGGAGCTTATGAAGCTCCATTTCACAGATGTTCAGTCGGGGCGGGTCAGAACGCTACAACAACAAATAACAACAAACAAAAAAACAACAACAAAAATAACAACAAACAAAAAAACAACACGACTGGAGTGCAAAGTTTAGAAAAGGTGAACAAATCACTTTAATAAATATGCAAATGAAACTAAACTTTTTTTCAATCTTCCCAGATAAAGCCCACTGAGCTGTTAGGTTATTTTTCAGAAGCCACCTGGCCACAATTGGTAGCTCAACGAGGTGGTTTGTTGCGTGGAAATCGTGAAACCAAAAATCCCTGCATGAATCGGGCCTCACATCTCTGTGCTTAAAACAACGACCACGCAGTGAGCAACTCCATTGGCCACTCTGATCCAGGTGTGGACAATTCCACATTCTCACGTTAGGCTGCAGTACCTCCACAGAGTCGCCAATGCCTGCATCCCACACAGTGGAACGAATTTTATTGATCACAAAGGCACGATTGGGCTGGGTGGACCCCCGCAACCAGAGTTTAAATTGACAACTTTCTCATTGCGAGACAAAAAGCAGCCACAGCACCACCAGAACACCAGGGCATTCTTTTGGGTTATTTTGTTCTCATTTCATACAATTATTAACCCTTTCCCATTCTGAGACATCTGCAAGTTGCAGGGTGGGTGTCCCATTTACCGCTGAATCTTGGGACGTGCAAGCGGTTCAGCGTTCATTTTATTTAGAGAGGCGTAGTAGCGCCGTTGTTTTTAAAGATATTGTACTCACCACAGAGAACTGGAGCGACACAACCGCACTCTACAATAGCTGGCGCCAAACTGTACCTCACGCCCTGCCACGTGGCCTTGTGGGAGCCTGAGAATCGATTAAAACAAAATTTACTTTAGTTTTACAGTCCGATGACATGCACATATGCCATCGGAACGGGATCAGAAGAAAAACTGATGACGTACGTGTCTGTCATCGGAACAGGAAAGGATTAATAGTGTCTGTTACCTGGTCATCAGCACACTCACTACTAAGCCAGCAAAATAAACTGAAGGTTCGTATGCCACCCTGTGACCTCTGTGGAAAATGACCAATGTGGCGTAGTAGGCCCCTCAAGGTGGTGATCGTCATGGACATTCCACCAAACATTTGCTGACGCTATGAACGAATCTGTTTCCCCGCTCTCTTTGTTGCCGCTTTAGGATCACGACTTTGAGTTCCTGCGCCGCAGCCGCCTGTTCGAGAAGTGTGGCCAGTCGACCGGCTACCATTGGACTACCCAGTACATCGGTGGCCTCCGCCTCGCCGATTGCTCACGTAAGTCTCGCAATCGGTACCAACGGTAATTAAGGGGCATTTAAAGCCCCTTTGTCGATCCGCTGCTGGATGAATGTGGGAAAACAAAAAGTGACGTGCCCAGAGAAAGCCCACATGTCTAAAGGGGATAATATGCAGATGCCACTTCAAATTTTCTGCCGTCCTGCCATCTCCTGGGAAAACTGGTTTCCCGGTGCATACAGCTCATATATTTAAAACAAGGGACGTTCTGTAATTTCCCGCTAACATGATGATCCCAAATCTTTGTCTTCGTTAGCCAGTTTTGCCAGTTGAGCCCCAGGGCCAGTCTCACTGTGCCCAGCAAGAGAATACGAGTGGATCATAAACATCGCGACCACACATCGCTGTAGCCACTGCTACTTTCAATGCTCAAATCGCAGGCCAGCACAGAAACACGACGAAACAAAGAGCAACACAAACCTCATGCGAGACACACTGGCTGGAGCGGTGGTGCTATGGTTCGCGCTAGGCGCTATAAACCGAGTTCCGTTCCTGGCCATGGCTAACATCAGTTTCGAGCTTTCGGATGCGCTTCTGCGGCCGTCTGGAACGCTCTTCATTCTAATAGAAGGGTTGTGGCCTGCAGTGTGCTGGGTGAGTGGGTGAGTTGTAGTGACCTGCAGTGTGGTGGGTGAGCGGGTGAGTTGTAGTGACCTGCAGTGTGGTGAGTGGGTGAGTTGTCGTGACCTGCAGTGTGGTGGGTGAGTTGTAGTGACCTGTAGTGTGATGGGTGAGTGGGTGAGTTTGTAGTGACCTGCAGTGTGGTGGGTGAGTGGGTGAGTTGTAGTGACCTGCAGTGTGGTGGGTGAGTGGGTGAGTTGTAGTGACCTGCAGTGTGCTGGGTGAGTGAGTGAGTTGTAGTGACCTACAGTGTGGTGGGTGAGTGGGTGAGTTTGTAGTGACCTGCAGTGTGGTGGGTGAGTGGGTGAGTTGTAGTGACCTACAGTGTGGTGGGTGAGTGGGTGAGTTTGTAGTGACCTGCAGTGTGCTGGGTGAGTGGGTGAGTTGTAGTGACCTGCAGTGTGGTGGGTGAGTGGGTGAGTTGTAGTGACCTGCAGTGTGGTGGGTGAGTTGTAGTGACCTGTAGTGTGGTGGGTGAGTGGGTGAGTTTGTAGTGACCTGCAGTGTGCTGGGTGAGTGGGTGAGTTGTAGTGACCTGTAGTGTGGTGGGTGAGTTTGTAGTGACCTGCAGTGTGGTGGGTGAGTGGGTGAGTTGTAGTGACCTGCAGTGTGGTGGTTGACCACAGCGTGGAAGAGACAAAACAGTCATTCTGGGTAGACTGAGTCCTCAGCATGGGTGGAGGCATCAATGCGTGATATGCATGGCAACAGCAACCCCGGTAGTAGCGATAGTAGTGTGATAAGGAGGTAACCGACAGCGAGCAAGTGAGCAGAGTGTTTCTGTGAGTGCTGGAAACTTCAATCACCCTTTTACTGTGGCTTCACTTTAAACTTCATCCGCTGCAGCAGCGAGGTAGGATCTGGACGCTCCAGATCCGGATGCTGCAGATCCTACCTTGTACGCGCTCACTGGCCCACACGTAACGATCGCCGTACCCTCGCCCTGACCCCTACAGGCAGCTCCGTGCGGGTCAGCGGCCAGCCGTCCGCCTACTTCGCCGAGCAATGCGTTCGCGACAACAAGAAGGTCTACGAGGAGTTCTGGAAGGAGGTGAACAAGGCGGTGCTGCGACCCGTGTCCCTGCACCAGGAGTGCAAGAAGCCCCACTGCACCGACCCCTTGGTGCGCTGTTAGTGAGGCCCTCCCTCCCACTTAACTCAGGCCAGTGGGAATATTTAGCGGCCGATTTGAAAGGGGAGTGAGTAAGCAAGTAAAAACAAAATGTGTTACATTCCCTCGGGGGGTAATTTGTCGTCTTTCCCAAATGCGTCGCGGCGCGTCGCTCGTCCTCCTGCTGTGTACCCCAATGTGGAAGCCACGAGCCACACTCGACGAATACAAACAAAGTGTTCCTTAAGCCCTCGGAGCGATGGGAAGCTGGCCCTGGTTAGTAAACTGCTGTCGGATATCGTGTTGAGACAGCGACGCAACATCTCTTCGATGTGTCTTTTGGGTCGTACTACGGTTTGCTCCTTTTCCGCTGTAGACCAAATCCAGACATATTTCTCGTCAGCACCAGTTCTATTAGGAATACTGTGCCACGGTGGCGAGATGTTAACTACCTCGCCTGGTATACACGAGATCGTGGGTTCAATCCCGACCATCACAACTGTACATTTGAAGTTTGCTTGTTCTCCCCGTGGTCGCGTGGACTTCTCCGAGTCCTCCGGTTGTTCCCTCCACATTTAGAAGCATGCATTTCGAGTATTTGGCTGCTATACATTGCCACGTCGTTGAGCTACCATTCGTGGCCAGGCCCCTTTTAAAAATGAGATATATTGCTCAGTCGGCCTTACCTGGTAAAATAAAAAATCTTCTTAGTTTACAGATCTCGGTCAATAAGGGACAGGTGGCAACCCTACATCGTACCACGTGTCCATCGGCACGTCATCCCGACTTCAGTTCGTGAAGAAGTTCCCTGCAGCACGCGGACCGAAATGTCGGACACCATGCCGAACGACACACGGTGGTGGCGTGTGTGCCATAGGGCAGCGGCAAAGCCATCGGCAAGGATTTGTTCACTTCCAAATCAATCGAGGGCGCAGAGGCATCCCGCTCGTGCTCCGGGGTTTTTTCATTGGCTTCTCACCGTCACGTGATCACAAGACTGGAGAGCCAATCCCAGCATGGCGACTAATTCCAACGTGGCACCGCGTATTTTCCTAATTGCTCGAGCGGCTTCATATCACCGTTTAATTCAGTGCTCCCACGTGCATTCCAATGTCGCAATAAACGTGTTTATGTACTCCTCTCTCTTTCTCTTAGCCTGTGCTTGCAAATAAGACATATTTCAAAGAGATATAGCATTAAACTGGCCTCTTAGCCAAGGTCTCTAGAAACTGGGGGAAGATCCTTTGCTTTTAGGTCCCACGCGAGGCAATGCTGCACATCGTTATATCCGGGCATGTGTGCATTTTCTGCAAGGCGATATTAAAACAAACTACTTTGCTGTGCTATAGTGACACGTTAGCCAATGTATTCAATGCTTTTCAGATTTTAAACTTTGATCGTTTAACGCGTAGGCTTTCGCGACCAATATCCATACTAGAGGTTTTGTTGGGTGAGATCGGGTAAATATAAATGTGTCGTTAAACCCACCACCACCCGGCAGCCAATTAGTAAGGTTTGGCACGTAAACAAAACATGCCAATTCGTTACTAGTACAGGACACCAAGGTGTGTTGGAGAGTAAAACCCACCACAACATTTACAATTTGAGTACCGTGATGTTTCGCTCGTAATTACAACCAGCATCATCAGGTAACAGCCAGAATTGTGGAGAAATCCTGATGTTTCGTGTTCAATGACACATTCATATTAATGCGATCTAACCAAAAAAAATGAAACCTTTATTATGGATAACATTTTGATCGTGTTGCGAGTCTTGTTGAAAGTGCCCTTGCTGTGGATAGACCGGGAGAAACGTTGCGATGGTCTTTGGGGGGGTTAGGATTAAATGTGGGGTCACAACATTTCATGAGTTGATAAAAAGCGTCCAAAATGCACAACGACCATTTTGAAAACGACAAACCATTTTATTTCACGTGATAAAGTACCTGCGTTGGCAGTGGTGCATCAGCACGAACAACAGCACTTCTCCACGCATCCGTTCACAATGAGCCTTAACAGGAAACGCATAGAAAATAGATGTTTCGGGCATAGGTCCTGATCTCTGAGCTACGGCTTGAGTTGTTGCTTGTGGACACCGGGAGATCGTCGACCGATGTTTGGCAAATCGCCGGGGTCGGCAATGGAATCAGCCGCGATTTAACTCAACAGAGCGCTACGCGCTAAGGTTGCCATCTTCCACCTCCTGTTGCGCTCACGAATAACGACGGCCACTGGCCCCGGAACATCTGCCACGTGCTTCCTGTCGGGGCCACGCCGTTATTGACGGACGCGTGGGGAGTTTTCGTTATTTTGCAAACCCCCCCCCCCCACCCCCCCAAGCCCCGTCCTCGCGAGTGTTGCACTTAACGCTTTGACGATGGTGAAAGATCCTGAGGTTGTGAAGAGTTGACGCTTACGCACATCCTCTCAAATAGCCGTGTGTGCGTGTGCGTGTTTTTGTATCCGTTTGTTCCATGCCCTTTTAAAATCGGGGACATGTGAGCGATGCATTAATTCTCTCTCTTTCTATACAACTTTCTATACGTTAGGCATAGCAGTGTTTACAAATGTTTCCACATAAATAAACCAATGAACCAATGGAAGTTAAAAGAATGCTTGTTTTAATTCTGTTGTAACCAAAAAATTCACCTGCATGGGAAAATAAATCTTGCATTCCATACAAGGGTCTGTCTTCTCAGCCCCTTCATTGTTCCACAATGTCCGATGGAGAGACTGGTTCCTGCCATAGTGCCGTGGAATTTCCACCGTTGGCTCTGGAGATGAGCACGTGGAGACTTTTGACATCATCTTTTGTTTATCACGGTTGTTGAGTACGCGCTGAAAACATCAAGCAGCCAGAAACAAACAGCACCGTTAAAGTTGTATTAGTTTATTGAATTGAGCGAGGTCGCTACTGCTAGTCAAATTAATACGTATTAATCGAACACTATTACTACTGCTAATCTTATTTCTCTATTACTCCAAAGATAGATGTTGATTTTATGTAATGACGATGACTAGTTATGCAGAATGCAAGATAAACTGCAGCGAGCCAGCCGACAACCACAGAGACCTTGAGTTCAAATGAGGTCAATTTCATGACGTGACACAATGTGATGCACTGCTCACTGCAAATGGCAATGCCATCTCATGAGAACACGACACCAATGTCACAATTGGAACACTGCATGCTATATAAATGCAGTATAGAATTGGAGGCTCTTACGGAAATGTATGGCCTGGGTGGAAGAGTAGGCCAAAGGACCCTCTGGAGGGGGCTCTCCACAGCTCTCTCTCGAGTGGAGGTGGTTCCGCCAGCAGTGGTGTGTACAGGCAGTTGCAGGGCTGCGCCTTTATAACTGGGACTGGGGGAGGAAAAAAATCAACAGTTAAATTCCTGCTCCAGTTGCATGTTTATTCGTGCCCCAAATTACTCAAAATTACCAAGGCACAATAATCCTCGTGACACCATGAAAAGGGCAACTGCGATCACGTGCTGCTGTAGTCGCCCATTTATATATATAAAATGTAAAACCTCATCATCATAAGTCACTGTCTATCCACCGCTGGATGAGACCTCCCTCCCCACGCCATCGCCACCCCGCACCTCCGCTTAGCGCGGTTGGCTACGTCCCGGCGTGGAATAAGTTCCCCGCACGAAACAAGCATCCCTTCCGCCAACCCTCGATCACGTCTCAAGTCTGATTTTGCTTTTAAACCAGGCGAGAACGCAAGGGACCGGGACAAGGTCTCATTTGCGAGGGTAACCCCGAGGCTTTGTTGAGTCCTGCGTGCGCGAAGTGCGGCTTGTTGCCACGAGTCGTCCCAAACGCAACTCCGCTGGAGTGCGGCTGGCTGCGTACGGTGCGGAAAGAAGTGGGACGCGGGGACAATCGAGGAGTTGAGGGATTGGAGTGTGACGCCGGCACACGACGGCCGACTCTTGCGAAGCTGACGTCCACCGAGTGACGTCCACCCTGAGTGACGTCCACCCTGAGTGACGTCCGCCCTGAGTGACGTCCACCCTAAGTGACGTCCACCATAAGTGACGTCCACCCTGAGTGACGTCCACCCTGAGTGACGTCTACCATAAGTGACGTCCACCCTAAGTGACGTCCACCCTGAGTGACGTCCACCATAAGTGACGTCCACCCTGAGTTAGATTCCCGCTCACGACCTGGGCCTCCGGTAGGTCGACTCAGCGTTAAAAATGGGCACCTGCTGCGAGGCGTAAAAATCAGCACTGGGGATACAAAGGCGGCCGGGCGTGTTGTTGGCCACGCAATCGCCTCTTGTGCATTTCCCCCACAGTCTGCGAAGGCTACACGGGGGATCTTTGTCTTTCCTATGACAATGGTACAGCAGTGCAGTTGCGTGCATCTCCAGTAAGCCAAAGTTGGTGTCTCCACGCAACAAAAACACGCACCCGATGAGCCAGCACGCACCCGGTAATGATGTCACTCAGCCATTAGTGAAAATTCCACATTCCCATGGTAGGGACCAGGCTCTGCTACAACTATTTGTTATTTATCACCAGATAAGGCCCACTGAGCTATGTAGCTGTTTTTCAGAAGCGACCCGGCCACGAATGATTGCTCAACGAAGTGGCTTATGTGGATTTTTTTTTATTAATAACAGCCAAATACTCTAAACGAGTCTTTCTAAATGTGGTGGGAAAAACTGGAGGACCCGGAGAAAAATCCACGCGACCACGGGGAGAGAAATACGCAACCTCCAAAAATACAGCAGCAGGCGTCAGGGTCTACCTCTTGCATACCAGGCGAGGTAGTTAACATCTCGCCACCGTGGCTCCCATCTCCAAAACACAGCCATGCACTTTGGTTGTTGTTATGATTTAAAATATTTCCCCAGTCCACAAAATGATTTCGGTGCAAATTCCGACACGAATTCCATACCAGCCACTGTAGTCTGTAAATCCCTCCATGGTCTTGCCCCACCACCATATCTCGCTTCTCTCGTCTCTCGACTGCTCTGTCCCATCCCGCCCCTACGCTCCCAGTCTCCACCGTCCCTCTCTGTGCCTCACTCGCCCTGCTGCGCCCAGTCTCGCTCCTTCTCCCTTCTCACTTCACTTCGCTGGTACCAACTCCCACTGCAGCACACGGAGCAACCATCTTCACCATCACAACAACCTGCAGATTCCGTTCATCCCCTTGAAACAACCCCCGTCTCTTATCCCCTAGCCCATCCTCCTGCTACTCCCTGCCTGGCCCACCAACTACGACCAGGCCTAGCCCAACCCCTATCACTATCCCAACCCCTGCCATACCCCTATCACTACCCCAGCCCCTATCACTACCCCAGCCCCTATCACTACCCCTGCCATACCCCTATCACTACCCCAGCCCCTATCACTACCCCAGCCCCTATCACTACCCCAGCCCTTATCACTACCCCAACCCCTATCACTACCCCAACCCCTATCACTACCCCAACCCCTATCACTACCCCAACCCCTATCACTACCCCAGCCCCTATCACTACCCCAACCCCTATCACTACCCCAACCCCTATCACTACCCCAACCCCTATCACTACCCCAACCCCTATCACTACCCCAACCCCTATCACTATCCCAGCCCCTATCACTACCCCAGCCCCTATCACTACCCCAACCCCTATCACTACCCCAACCCCTATCACTACCGCAGCCCCTATCACTACCCCAGCCCCTATCACTACCCCTGTCACTACCCCTATCCCAACCCCTGCCATACCCCTATCACTACCCCAGCCCCTATCACTACCCCAACCCCTGCCATACCCCTATCACTACCCCAGCCCTTATCACTACCCCAACCCCTATCACTACCCCTATCACTACCCCAGCCCCTATCACTACCCCAGTCCCTATCACTACCCCATCATTATCACTACCCCAACCCCAATCACTTCCCCTATTACTATCCCAACCCCTGCCATACCCCTATCACTATCCCAACCCCTGTCACTTCGACTATCACGAACAATACCCCAGCCCCCTATCACTATCCCAACCCCTATAACTAACTCCGACCCTCACCCCTCCTAAACAACTCCCACCCGTCCTCCTGTCATCGTAACTACACCACCATGTTTCATAAGAACCCCACTTTTTGCTTCAACCACTGTTCAACCTTATGTACATCTTTATAATTGAACCTTATGGCGAGATTCCCGGAGTCTTGAATAAACGGAAGTCAAAATCGTAAAATTAACTAATTTTATTTTTGGCGACTCCGTCCCACCGCGCACACAAACGCCGCGACCCACGTGGCGCGGATCGTTCTGTTGTCGTGTCGCGTCCAAGCTCAGCAGCGAGGACGAATGCGCACAAGAGCTGAACAAGCGAATGCACTCCATGCTCGGGTATGGGCAGGATAATAACAAGTCTTATCCAAAGCTGCTCAAACTGCCTACACGACTAAAGTCCTTGATTTGTCATCACGGTATGCATAATACAGTGAAACTGCTCTCTTATCTTCATTATTATTTGTGACCTACCAATGTCTGCAGCCAGGATCAATCGATGACAATCATATTACCTGCAGATATTTAACAGATGAGATGCGTTGCACCGTGAATTCCTCCTGTTTGATGATACTTCTCTTGTCCGTATGCATCTGTGCAGATAGGTTTATCTTTGCAGTTAAGCCATAGTCCCCACATACCGCTCGTATCAATGCGGATAAGAGGAGCGGCGACCCACTACTCTGTAGAGTAACATTGGTATAAACGCTTGTTACAATATGAAGAGCGCATTGAAAACACATACTATTTTATGTACTGCTTACAAAGTGTGTTCACAAATCCACACTGAGGAACACGATGATTGACAGAGGGGTGTACATTTGTTTCGATAGTGTATTTAAATAGAAGTACTGCAGGTAAGTAGTTTTCAGTTTTAAAGGCATAGTTTAACAAGACAACACTTGCCACCATCCTTCAAACCCATTGATGAAAAAGAGCAAAGTTTATGTTTACATTATAACATGATGTTTATGCGAGAGCCGGGGGCTTATGGGACCCCGGGGTCCTGCCATAAGGTTCAATTGTTGCAAAGCGCCCCGCATTAAGACACTGCTACATCTCTATCAGTGCAGGGTGACGCCATACCTCCCCCTGGTGGCTGCTGAGATGGACGTTGAGTCAGGGATCCACACCCCCTCTCCTGCACCCCGTGTCTCTCACCAAATCAGCAACGCTTTGCTCAGCGGGCGAGCGGTGAGAAACTCCGATTAGGTGAAGAGGGAAATGGCTTTGATCGACTAGTTGCCACGGTGGCTAGGAGATGTTAACTACCTCGCCTGATATGCAGGAGGTCGTGGGTTCGATCCCGACCCTGACACCTGATGTATATTTTGAGTTTGCGTGTCTCTTTCTCCGTGCTTGCGTGGGTTCAGTTGGCTGCTAGAAATGTACACGTGATAAGCCATATCGTTGAGCTATCATTTGTGACTACATATGAAAAAGTGCTATATAGCTTCACCTATAATTTTGTGTTAATCCACCATCACTGAGTGTGTGGTGCATGGTGAGTGTCTGGTGAGTTTCCGCTGGTGAGTGCGAGTGGTGATTCGTATCTGGGTAGTGGTGTCTGGTGAGTGGTGAGTGTCTGCTGGTGAGTGTCTGCTAGTGAGTGTCTGCTAGTGAGTTGTGAGTGTCTTCTGGTGAGTGTCTCGT